TTCTCATCTTCTAGTCTCTTCTTTATCAGTTGCAATATGGCTACTCCAGAAAGTAAGTGCTTTAAATTAGCTGCAAATAGAATTCTGCTCTTTAATGTGCACTAGGTGAAACTCCAGCTGACATCTTTCAGGACAAGTTTGGTGAAATTCCTCCATTGATTGGAAAAGAGGCAAACTTCACTACTGTTACTGATAATCTTTTTGCAAAAAAACTGATTACTAAAAAAGAAATTGCTGGAATAACAACGCAACATAATCTTGATGATAATAAGAGAGGAAGTGCCCTAGCTATGCATCTCTTTGACAAAATAGATGTAGATGATGATGACAAGTCTGCCCAATGTTTACAAAAGATATGTGATGTGTTTGAAAGCAAAAATGTGAATAATGAAGAACTAAAGAAAATTGGAGCAGACATGAGGAAAAAGCTATTAAGTAAAAACATGCATGATCTTCAAATACATACACATAATTAGATTGCATGCAGCAATTTAAATAACTATAAATCTATGTGTCATTTAATTTAAGCATCCATTGTTTGTGCTTTAAAACTAACTTGTTTTCAATTTAGTTTAAAATCAATTGTACTTGTCTCTCATTAAAGAACCAATAACAGAGAGACTTGTAACACAATTAAGGTCTTGTATTAGTAAAACTTATTTTACTAATATCTTAGGCACAACTGCTACATCACAAGTATGGCCTACTGATGCTATCTCTTCTGCTCCACCACAACCCAGTGAACCCACAACTACACAGACAAACCCAAATGAACTAAGTACATAGGAGAACATTAGGTACACATTATACATTATCATTTCCTTTCATTAGATGTAGGTGATGTCCAGAAAGTTTTAAATGCTTTAAATAAAGCAATGTTTGGTCCTACAAATTGGAGGAGCTTAGGACTATCTCTGGGTCTCATTGCACCGACACTTGATACAATTGGTAGAACAAATGGTGATGCCGAAGATTATCTGGAAAAAACTATTCAAAAATGGTTGCAGAGAAAGGATCAAGTTAAAGGAACAACATGGAAGATCTTGAAAGAAGCAGTTGCAAGTACTGGAGACAATGCAGCTGCTGGAAGAATACCATCACATTAAATTTAACTATTATTGTCCCTTTTTTATTATTAAAGTTGTTGCTGTTTAGTGTTGACATCTCAACAACTGTTTAGTGTTTATTAGAAAAAGAATGTTAACGTTGGGACAGTATTACAGGCGTGGGTGAGCCTCAAGAATATACTTTAGACCACACACACTTTTATTACTTGAGCTCCATATAAGGATAAGTTGATTGAGTAAATGATAGTGTTTTGGAGGAGTTCACTAGACTATCAATATTAAATAAACAGGATATTCCAACTGTGCCAATATCCCAGGTTTCTCATCTTTCAATTCATTGACCTCAGTTCTTCTTGTGTTCTCATCTTCTATAGTCTCTTCTTTATCAGCTCACTGAAATGGCTACATCACAAAGTAAGTGCTTTAAATTAGCTGCTAATATATTCAGTTGATATTAAGGTTAATCTAATCTGCACTTTTTAATGTAAACAGGTAAAACTCCAGCTGGCATTTTTCAGGAGAATTATGGTGAAATTTGTCCATTGATTGGAAAGAGAAAAAACTTCAGTAATGTTACCAACAATCTCTTTGCAAAAAAATTAATTACAAAAGAAGAGCTTAATCAAATAGAAACACAACCAAATCTTAATGATGAGGAGAGAGGACGT